TCTTAGTATTCAAAGCATTTGGCATATTTTCCTCTTACTTTGTTTTATAATTATTATTAAACTTCAAAACATTCGCTAGTAGCCTTGAACAACATTCTTCCCTCTGTTTTTCTTTTTCTCTTACTATCTTGGCCCTTAACAGCAGATCGGGTCCGAGGATGGTCACCCTTGAGGGAATTCAGATGACACCACGAGGACGAGGCGTGAGTAGGTGGCCGAGCGATATAGCATACTGCATAGTCCTGCAATTTCATGGACCATGTGAGTTCATACCGCGTGGTCCGTGATAGTCACCTCATGCGAACCCAAGCCACACTTTCGCACCACGCCATTGCCACATCATCGCTACACCATGGGTCAGGGATACTTAAATTTACCCGACCTTGACCCAAGCCTCACTTGTACTCACACCCTCGACGAGCCTGCCTCTGCAAGGTGGGTCTCACTCACTCTCACTCACACGCTTCTCCGAGAGCGACCGCACGCCCCGGCCATCTCCTACCTCACTAGCGGGTAGGCCAGGCACCTGCACCAGATTCTATTTCCATTATATTATTGATAAAGTGTTAAGCCGTAAACGTGTATCACTAGCACCAGTATCATAAGCAGGTTCAGCACCACTTACACTTCCTATCTCTCTCTCTTCCATTTTAACTCTCTATTCATATCTCTCTCATTCTTTTTATGACTCTCTCTTTCTCTCTCTCTCTTTATACATACACACACATATATATGTGTGTGTATGTATAAAGCTGCATATGAAGACTTTGAAACTATTGTAAGTGCAAACTTTAATACGTATTTCCCTTTAAAATCAACAAACCGTATATCACTATAGAACAAAAAATAAAAATAAATAAAATAATAAAATGATAATAAAATCATAATAATAAATTATAAAAATAAAGTACAGAGGAAATATGCCAAATGGCATTTGAACTACTGAGAGGAATATAAAAGGCTCCGTAACTCACAGCCAAATCTAAATATTTTTTCAAAAATATTGAAATATTGACAGCAACAAATCTCAATGGAAAGTTATTAATAGAAGTTTGAATAGAGGAAAACAATCGCAAATCACACTAAAAATCAACAACATTGAAGTTATCGATGCAACAGAAGTAGCTAATTATTTCAATGAGTATTTCTCTGCTGTAGGATCAGAACTTGCCAACCATAATTTTGTAGAATTTCTTGATGACAAGGTTTGCTGTATGCTATATCGCTCGGCCACCTACTCACGCCTCGTCCTCGTGGTGTCATCTGAATTCCTCAAGGGTGACCCATCCTGAGATCCGATCTGCTGTTAAGGCCAAGATAGTAAGAGAAAAAGAAAAACAGAGAGGGAAGAATGTTGTTCAAGTGCTACTAGCGAATGTTTTTAAGTCAATTTGCAGTTTATAATGTGGATTTTTTTTTTTTTTTGTATTTTTCCAAAAGAAAATAAGTGAGGGAGATGGGCTACAAACCATCTCAGATATGAGAATAGGTAAGGAAAATGACAATGGCAATCTGCGAGGATTTACTTGAACCGATTGTTATTTCACAGAGAAAGAAAAAATATGTATTGTGCATCATTTTCACCAATCACGAATGGCAACGCCACAAGGCAAAGGAGAGAGCCTGTAACTACGACACAATAAATGCTATAAATGAAGATTTGTATATATTTACAGTATCTTGTACTGCATGGAAGAGTGTGTGTAATGATTCATCATCATCATCATCGTGGAGCTAACGCCGACGGGGGCGCATAGCCGCATCCACCCTTTGCTTGTACCTGCGAGGGTCCCTCATGGTAAGCCGCCAGGCAGGGACCCGGCCCATCTCAAGCTCCTCACGACGGGTTTGATTTATCTGCCTAAGCCATGACTTCATAGGTCGTCCCACAGGTCTCCTCCACCCATGGCTATCTCGAACAGAGACAACCTGGTGGGCAGGATCATCCTGAGGGAAGCGAACCAGGTGGTCGTAAAGCCTGAGTTGGCGATCAAGGATTGCGCAGGTAATGGGTCCTGTTCCAATCTCATGGTGCAACGGTTGGTTTGACACATGGTCCTGCCAACAGTATCCCATGATCCGGTGCAAGGACCCATTACAAAAGGCATCAAGATGTGCCTCCCAGGCACACGATAACGTCCAGGTTTCAATACCATATAGCAAAACTGGCATGTAGGTATGTAAAGCTCTCTGTGACTTTAATGTCCTCACTGGAAGCACGTACCGACTGAACAGGTTCTTCTAGCAAGTCCCCAAAGTCCTAGATCTTGGTCTTGGTCCAGGAGACCTATAGACCCAAGGGCTTCGCTTCATTACTAAATGCATCCAGAGCCACCACTAAGAATTCCAAAGACTCAGATAGAATAGCAACATCAGCAGCAAAGTCGAGGTCAGTAACCTTGATATTGCCCAGTGTTGCTCCACAATGACTTTGAACAGTAGCTCTGCCCAGTATCCAGTCCATGCAAGTTTTGAAAAGTGTTGGTGCAAGGACACAGCCTTGCCTCACTCCTGAACTGACAGGAAAGAAGCTTGACAAGTCCCATCACACTTTACAGCTCTTTCAGTACCAGTATACAGACTTGCTATTAGTCCAATAATCCTTGTTGGAATTCCTCTCAGTCTCAAGATCTCCATGAATGATTTCCGATGCACCGTATCGAACACCGTTTTGAGGTCGAAGTAGACTGCAGTCAGCCCACACCCGAACTCACGACAGCGCTCTACAATTACTCGAAGCACAAGAACACGGTCTGTTGTGGACTTACCAGGAGCGAGTCCAGATTGCTCCGGCCTCTGATGCCTCAGTAGGTGGTGTTTGATACATTTCAGAAGGATTTGGGCAAGAACCTTGCCTGGTATATTGAGCAGTGTGATGCCTCGGTAGTCGCTGCAGTCCCCTTGGTCCCCCTTCCCCTTCCAGAGAGGGATGACCACACCCCACAACAGGTCAGGGGGAATGGTACCGGACCGCCAGATGGCTGCCAGAATAGCATGCAACCCATGCGTCATAGGTTCATCACCAGCCTTTAACAGTTAAGCTGAGATGCTGCATATAGCTGCTGCTTTACCACTCTCCGGCTTGGAGATGGCCCCCTAATTTCGGTTAGGGAGGGGGCATCCTCACTGATGGGTGGGTCCGGCAACGGACTCTCGGCACTACCCGCATCCAAGTTAACTGTTGGTGGGTCAACCTGGTACAACTGTTCAAAATACTCAGCCTAACGCTCCCACACTGCGAGAGGATCTGAGACTATCTGGCCACTCGCTAAGCAAACTGCTGTCACCAACTTTCTCAGGGCTTGATAGGCAGGACAAAGGTCATTTACTAGGAAATGGCCTTCTACCTCCTCTGCAAGACTCCTAACATACTGTTCCTTATCCCTTCTTAACAGTGACCGAGTTCTGCGCACCTGAGAACGGTGCAAATCCCAATCCCCTGTCAGACGAGCCGCACGACAGGCATCTGTGGCATCCAGTGTCTCCTGCAAGATGAAATTTCATCTTGCTCTCGGGGGTTCACCAGTTGTGAGCTGCATCAAGCGTTTCGTGCTTGGAGGTGTCCCACAGAAGTACAGGGTTCCTCAGATTGTCGAGTGCTGTGAAACGACCAGAGATTGCCTCAGCAAATCCTCAAGAACACTCCCCCTCCTTCAGCCTGTCCAAATGAAACACCCTAGGGTGATCATTGGACTGCTGGGGAGTTTTGAAGTGGACCCGGAGGGTAGCACACCAATCTATGGTCAGTACCGCAGAACTCAACACTCCTACACCCTGCAATTCTGGAGGATCTTCGAGTGATTGCTAACGAGTATGTGGTCTCCTTGGCTGCATTACCTGTATCGCTGTACCACGTCCAGCGATTTGGGTCTGGGCGTTTGTACCAGGAGCCAGAAATCCTCATTTTCTGGGACCTAGCAAAGTCCTGGAAAAGGAGGATATTCTCGCCATCGGTATCAGGTCCCTAACCATGGGGACCGACAGAC